ACTCCTCTGGTGAGATATTGTCCATGCGCTAACACACTAACGTAGCCAGATTGTGTACTGGCTGGTATATGCAACAGGGACCTTACATGCAAGGTCTTCTTCCTACATCTTAAGTGAGGTATACTGATGGAATATTATCATGTAAATCTATGCTCGGATAACTCCTCTTCATTTTAAATGCTTAATCTTCGCAAAATATTATTATTCTCGGGTGATAGAGCGCATGCGCGAGCACCGTTCCAGGCGTGCTATAGGGACTGATGAAAACTGCATAATATAGCTTGTTGAGGGTGAGAGGGTGGGAGACTAATGACAGGTGGCACGGAAGGTAGCTGCGTGGGCGGTGGCAGAAGAACCAGACTGAGCGAGGGACGAGGGAGGTAAGGGGGAGGACGGGAGGGGATAAAGTAGGAGGTGGTGACAATGGTGCTGAAGATGATGATGGTCATGGTGATGATGACCATGATGATGATGGTGATGATGATAGAGATGATGACCATGATCATGATAATTATGATCGTCATGATCATGATGATAACCACGATCATGATGGAGAATGATGATGCTGATGGTGGTGGCAATGATGATGGTGATGATGTTAATGTTGATGATGTTGTTAATGATGCTGACGATGACGTCAGTGGCTGTAATGGAGACAGCGAAGGCGGCAACAACTATGTTAATGTTGTTGTTAATGACGATGCTAGTGATGCTGTCGTCGGTGCTGGTGATGTTGATGATGATGACAGTGGTGTTGAAGGTCCTCTTCACGTCTGTCAAACATTTAGGTGATGCGTACATGGTGGTGAGTGGCCTACCGTTGAGGAATGGCAACAGACATGCTGGTGAGATAGCATCGATGTCTCTGCAGCTGCTGAAAGCCACGCAGGAGTTCCGCATCCGACATCGACCCAATGAATCATTAAAGCTCAGGATCGGAATCCACTCCGGTATTTGTCGCGATAGTTTCGCTCCAGTAACTNAATTTTTCAACAATTCCCCCAAGAAAAATTTAGCTGTCGCCCTCATCCCAGCGTTGTTACCCTTGCCCCCCGCCCCTTACAGCGAGCAATCAATGCCGTGGCGCAGCAAGCGCAGAAAATTGTTCTGAACAGCTGAAAGAAGTAGAACTTGGTCGTAGTCCAAAAAATGAAGCTTGTACATGGTACTAAAAAGTGCCCTTCAGATACCATCTCGCAGGCGATCTACATTTTCAGAGATTTTACCCGGGGAGGATGGCCCGCTAATACGCCGCCCGTTTCACCACCCTGCCGTGAGATTCTGGACGCGTGATGCGGCCATGAATGCCGGAGAGCGCGCCCAAGGATTGACAGGACTTTTTGTCTCCCAATGCGACAGCCTGATCACCGCACCATGCGTTGATCATTTTTACCTAGGGGGACCGCATTGGACACCATCCATCGCCGGAGTCTCAGAAATCTAGGGCATTCTGCGTTATGTTAGAACGGTTCCTACGATAGAGTTTTTGCCCAAAATACAAAAATTAAGCCACGCTGTGTAGCGCAGTGCGCACGCTCCTTCTGTAAGGAGACATTTTCGGCATCTCCGGTATCAAGAATGAAGCCCCGCCTTCTTTCGTTGATGGCCGAATGGGCGTCACGGACGTGACCGCGTTACTTTACACGAACTGTCTTCGCCAACAGCGCTGTTACTTTTCGTAAATACTGAAATACCGGCCGAGTGCATTTCGGCATCAAAGTGAAAAATTCGTCATTTACGCTGCTTCGGAAAGTGAACAAAGTTGTGCATTCATTGAACATTAAAGTTTTCCTACAAATTAAATAAATTCCGAGGAAATCTGTAATGCGGCTACTCGAATTTGTTTTAGCCCAATGACCGTAGCTGGGCTACGCCAGCTGTGGTGTGAGATGTAGTGTGGTTGTGCTGTGTGTTGTGTGTGTGTGTGTTGTGTGTGTGTGTGCATTGTGTGAGAGAGAGCGAGGGAATCTGTGAAAAATCATGAATGATAATATGCAGAATGAGATGTCAATATTGGTGTATATTCATAAAATTGACGAGACGCAATTCTGATTTTATATTCATATTCTTCTATGCGCTCCGCATTTTGTGGCCCGCGTGTTTTTATTATCTGACCTCTCTCCTCTCCGTCGTCTCTCGTCTCTCTCTCGATATAATATAGTAGTATATGTATAGTAGTATATATATATCTAATAGTATGATATATATATATAGTATATATATTATACTATGCTCTCTCTCTTTCTCTCTCCCTAATTGCCCCTTTGAATTTTTGCAAGGGAAATTTTTCCCTGTGCGCGATGGCCTATAGGAATCTAATGGTTACTGTGGCTAGCGTCGTGAACTTCATAGGCGGTTGGTGAAAGCTAGCATAGAGACACAGGTTCGAATCTTTTTAAAGCAAAATTGTTTTATTTTTAAAATTTTAAAATTTAATATTGTAATTACTAATCTTACTAATCATCCTAATTTGACTCTGTTACTGAGATAGCTCGAAATGACATTAGGTACATTATGAATTACAATATGAAATGATAGAAATCAAACATAGAATAATATATCGTCCACTGAGATTCGAATCTGTCATCTCTCTGCCATGAGGTCCACGACGCTATCCACTATAGTAGTATCGCGCAAGTGACATTTTTTCTATATGAGCGATAGCTTAGTGGATAAAATCGAGGACGTCATGGGGTGAATAGTAAATGCATGCCACATGCAGGCTCGAGTCCTGCTAGAGGAAATTTGTATTTTTTAATATAATATCGTATACTATAACTACTAATGTTACTACTAATTATAGTGGGTACCGTCGTGAACTATATAGGGGTCTGTTTTGCGTTTCATTTTCCTTATCTAATATTATAGGTCCGTTTATTGTAGGTCTAATTACCACATTATTAATCCAATAACACCTATATTGTAGGTGTCGATAACTGTTAAGGTCATTTCTACTTTTTACCGCACCCAACCGGAAGTTGATTACTTACCTGCACGCGCGCCACGTAGTGGGAGAATCTAGAACTACGTGTAGTAATGGCATTCACTCTGTTCCTTCCTTATATTAGTATTATTAAGTAATATTACGCATAATAAGACGTAAACTTTCGTACAGTGATATATACGCATCTATGCAGATATCTATGGTCTGAGAACACATGTATATATTGTTCTCAGTCTATGGTCAGTACGCTGTATACAAACGCTAAACAGCCACATGTGCAGCTTTTGTTTATCACAGGTATTTAATAGGCCCCCTATTTGGCCTACAGCCTCTCTGTACCTGAGGTCTAGTACCGTCTACTACTAGTACTACTACTAGTACTAGCCTACAATTGGTACAACTCAAGTTGAAGTAGGCCTACAATTACATACATACTATACACTGCCATATTGAATCTCGTTATGTATTTTGCTGGAATTGAAGGGTAAGACTACAGAAAATGTTAAGAATTATAATAAGTTAAAGTGGTACTATTACTACTAATATTAATAAATAGTATTATTTATTTATGTATAAATTATAAGATTGACTAGAGTGATTGCAATGCGCAATGACCTGTCACTGTCTCAGTTTGATCAACGCCGACTTTCTCTGTCTTTTGTATACCACTATACTAGTCCCTTAGACTTCGAAGACTAACCATTATGATCGAAGGTATGAAGAATGTTGAACTGTTCAGTGCACAGGCACTTGCCATCATTTTATCATTGAAACATTCCAAGTGCTTGTGGTTCATAGAAAGCTGAACCATTAATTGTCAGTGATAGTCAATTGTAGCAAGCTTGTTGTATTACAACTTGTATTATAATGTGTCAGTTGTTGGCATTCAATGATTAACTGCAGTAATGGCTATGCGAAACAGCGAGTGAAATTAACAAAAACAGTCTTTCTGTGTTAAAATGTACAAACATTTGCCTGTATCAAATTCTCTGTGAGAGCAATTGTATTATTGTTTCATTGGTAGCCTATAATAAAAAACTGTAAATTTCTTAAATTTAGCTACTGTAAGGTCCAAAAATGTACTCATGTAAAATTTGAAATTTTCTGTTTATATGTGTTTGCATATATGCTGTATGATGCGGCTGTCACGATTCTTTTCCCAGCATTATCGTAATCGCAAGTAGTCCTCACCTCGTAACCTCATAAAGATTAGTCTTCAAAGTCCAAGGGACTATATCAAAGATGGAGCGAGACAAAGAATAGACAGATCAACGGTGCTGATCGCAGTAGAAAAAGCTTTAATTTTGTCATATTTTTAATTTATCATAATTATGTCATATTTTTAAT